TGAGTTTCTGGGGGTTAGCTATCTTTCCAATGTCAGAACCAGTGCCAAGAGAGTTCTCTCAGCAGTTAGAAAGGTCCATTAAGGCAACTAATACAATTTAGGATTTTCTTTACATTGATTAGATTAAATCAGCTAGCTAGTTCTCTTTGACTGTACAATTGGATTATTAGTGGCCAATGCCATTTGACTTTCTCACTTACTTTCTTGTTGAATACTGCTAGCTCCAAGTTACGAAAAAGCCTCCTAGAGTGGTGCAGATGGCAATCTAAATATTTCTTGTCTTGGAAATGCAAGTCTACATATTTGTTTGATTTTTATAACACTCTTCTCTCTTCCCTCTATAGCCTAAAATTATGTTGTAACTAATTTTTAAAAGCAAATAAATTATGATCAATTTTGGAGGTATTCTTGATAATTCTTCTAAAGGCATCAAAGACTATCATTGAGGAAAGATTGAGAATTCTTATTACAAAGAGTTAGCAGCTTGTAGTAGCCCACCATATTGTGAACAAGGCCTCTATCGCTGGATCTGCTGGTAATCAGTTTGTGAGAAGTCAGATGTGTGCTTCTTTTTGTGTGACATGAGGAAATAGCCTACAGATGAAAAACATGCAGTCTGGGGAAAATAGTGCGGGAATTTCTGCTCCTGGTGTGTCTCCACACCTCCCACGGAAGGCTGCCCACCCAATACACACCCACGTACTTCTAACTGAAGCATGAAGATAGGGCCCGAAGCACTGGTTCTCTGGTTTCTACTTCTAAACTTCCATATGCAGCTCTGGGATGACTGGGTACTTGTGGGAGGATAAAAAGAGCTTTAAATCAAGAGTCCTGGCTTCAAACCTCAGTCCTGATTCACACTGGCTTTGTGATGTTAACTAGTGTCCCTTAATCTCACCAGTGTTTAGAGTCCCCTTGAGAATTCTCAAAGGCATGCAGAGAACAATGTGTACAGCAGAGATTTGTTGAAAGTATTAAAGATAAGCACTATATAAACGACAGTTATTATCCTGAGGCTTATTGTTACTGTTCTTGCTATCTTTTGGGTTTCTTTGAGTAGGTTTCTGGAAAAGAACAAAATGCCAAAAATGCCATATGGATTGACTGTGGAATCCATGCCAGAGAATGGATCTCTCCTGCTTTCTGCTTGTGGTTCGTAGACAAAGTAAGTATCCACATTCCCTTAAGCCCAT